TTTCTATTTTCTATTTATTTATTTATTTTGTGAAAACGATGCTTAGTGCTATAAAGCAACTTCAATCTTTCTGCAGATTTTTCAATTTTACATGTTCGTGTAAGTACTTAGTTTTTTATTTGATATCCAATCCCATTCTAATTAAATAAGTGAAGTGTGGATTCTGGAGAATTTCAATATATTGTTTACTCGTTTTGTAGCTTTATATATCATGGGTCCTATAAAGTTAATTTTCCGTTATCACAGTTACAGATTAACGGTTAAATTACCTTTCTGAAAATATCATGTTGCTAAACTTTTTATACTTTGTTTCGTTCATAATGGGATTTTGTGAATGTAAATGTCAGGTTACAAATCCTGCCATTGATCCTCTCAGAGAAGGATTGGTCATGTCTCTTGAAGTTAACCTTGGGAAGAGAGGAAATATACTAGAAATTGGTCCTGAGAATGCCTCTCAGGTTCTTCTTGATTTCTTTATTTTCATTTAAAACACAGAGGAACACAGGAAGGCTTCTTTTTTCTTTTATATCTTCTTTTTGTGCTCGGTGTAATATTTGATCTTTTCTACACTTCTTTCTTCCTTTTTGTTTGTGTTTTGAGCTTAGTGAGTTGAATTTTTCAACCAGGTAATTTTGTCGAGTCCTGTGCTGAATGAAGGGGAGCTTGAGTCTTTATTGAAAGATCCATACTTGAAAGCCCAAGTATTGCATACATTTTTTAACATAAGGAAAGGGGTTGATGGTTCATTGGAGAAAGCACTTACTAAGCTTTGTGAAGCTGCTGATGAAGCTGTTAGAAATGGTTCTCAGCTGCTTGTGCTTTCTGATAGGTCTGATGAGCTGGTAAGCACACAATTCGTATGTGCCCTCACTTTTATCTTCTAGTTACGGTGACATAACACAGCCTTGCTTGCATCCAATCTCCCTATGTAACGACAAATGTAAGGTTTTGGATGCCCTTCATGAGTCAGTCTCTGTCAGTTCCAATCAAAATTTACTTCTTGGAGTATCATCGTTATATGGAAACATGCCTTTGTTACCTGCCTCCGAGTTTGTCCACATCCATTTACTGCACTACCCTATAAATAAAGAGATAGATGGCATTGTTAGTGGTGTAAAATCTTGAAAAAACCATTGATACAAAAATAGTTCAGGAAAAAACTCGTAAGATTAGACTTCTTTTTCAAAAGATGGTCTGGAACAAGAAAGTGTTACTATAACAATGGGGCGAAGGGAGCAAGAACATTGTGGCTCCTTGTTGCTAATAGGTTTTTGTTGTTTGTTGATGTTAGAATTTATAGAAAAGAGAAATTTGTGTTGTATTCATAAGATTACAATACATTATATAATTACAATAATTGACAGACTTAGCTATTGTAGTGGAAGCTACCCTAAATTAGGAGCTAATAATCAGTATCTAAATTACAGTAATTACAATAATGAGGTTTGACCGATTATTTATGGTAAATAATAAATCAAAGACTGCAACAGATCTTATAATTTGGTTCCATCTAAACTTTTTATATCTTTCTTTTTTTATTTGAATTGATATCCTTTAAACTGATAGGCACCTCCTACAATAACCAAAATTTTAAAATCTATTGCTTGTCTCGTCCACCATCTAGCCTTTTTACTGTTAGATTGCGCATTGTGATAAACATTTGCTTTTTCCAGGAGGCAACTCGGCCTGCAATTCCAATTCTTCTTGCTGTGGGTGCTGTTCACCAGCATCTAATTCAGAATGGACTGCGAATGTCAGCATCTATAATTGCTGATACTGCTCAATGCTTTAGTACTCATCAGTTTGCATGTTTGATTGGATACGGTGCAAGGTTATTTCTGTTATCTATAACCCCTATTTGTTTATTTGTTTTCAACAATTGTTATTGGAGAGTGTTATTGCATTTGACATAGGATAGAATTGTTTTTATGTCCTCCAGGCAGTATATTATATACCTTGATTTATTATTTCTGTTGTAGTTTCTCTATATTAATTCCTTTTTTAAGTTTGGCTGTGCCCTTGACTTATTGAAATCATAGTTTGTTAATTACATCTCTTTCTCTCTCCTCCCCCTTCCCCCTTCATCCCTTCGTCTTGCTTTGGTATATGGGCTATAGTACTTGCACATGTATAAGGGTGACAAATGGAGTACATATTCACAATCGCTGCTTCCATAGTTTAATTCAATATTTAGTTCAGTTTCTTTATTATTTTTATTTTTTTGCCATTTTCTTAATCTTCTCTTTATATCTTCACAGTGCTGTATGTCCATACTTGGCACTTGAGACTTGCAGACAGTGGCGCTTGAGTAATAAAACTGTGAACCTGATGAGGAACGGGAAAATGCCCACTGTTACAATTGAACAGGCTCAAAAGAATTTTTGCAAGGTTCTTGTGTGTGCTGGTCCAATGTTCTTTAGATGTTTGCTGCTTTTGATTTTGTTCTTTTATCCATGTTTATATGAGTCATGTTTCCTTTTGGCTGGATTCATATTTTCTTTCCTTCTGTTAGTTAAAATAAATAATTATCTATAGGGACATTCATATCAAATAGTTATACCTTCATGTTATTTCTTGGTTCTGCAAAATGTGCCTGAGATCTTCTAACATATCTATTATTACAAGAGAAGCTTCTATATGTGCAATATTATATTTGAATATTAGTGGATCTGTTTCCAATATTTGTTGAATATGTAGATATTGCCTGTATAATATTCGAATTCCAGACTCTATGTCAGTGCTGCGTAGCCTGGATATTCTTGATATGATGTCCACATCTAAGAAGTTCTGAATGTTTAGTGATCCAAACTTACTATATGATTCTTCTGTTGTGTATGAGTGCAATTCTTAATTTATTTATTTTTATTTTTTTCTGGCGGCCCCATCCTTTTGTGTCCTTATCCTATCTTGAATTTTTTATGCTGTATTTCTGTCTTTTAGGATGTGCATGCCCTGTGACGTATTCCTTCTTTGCAAGTTTGTGGTATTGGAAGGATTAACTTGTTGGGTTCCAAAGGAATTATAGGACATGCACCAAGTTTAGTGTTCATATATGTCAGTAGAGTAGAAATGCATAGTAGGGAAATACAAACTAGAAGGGTTGGGTTTACTGTAGCTCATGGCTACAAGAACTATGAAACTAAAGAATAGATGAACCCACTTGACTGACAGAAAATTTCAGAAGAACTAAATGGGAAATCTGCTTCCCATTTTTAAATAATTTTAACATCTAGCAGAAAGATGCATAATTCTAGTTTTTTTTTCTATGTAAACTTGCCATGGTTGGAAATTACTGTGCTAATTATTTTCTTTTAAATTATTGATAATTTAAAAATTTCTGAGTGTTTTACCTTAATTTGATCTCTGGAGACTTTTTTCCTTAGTTCTATGTGGTACCCTGGAGGAACTTTATGGTTTACTATGCCGAATGGGACATAACGTTCCAAAATTCTATTTCAGGCTGTAAAATCTGGCCTTCTGAAAATTCTCTCCAAAATGGGCATCTCATTGCTGTCAAGGTATGTTCTTATTTCAAAGCCATCTTTTAATTTCTAGTTTCTCATTATCCCGGAGTTGAGCCCTGTATTACCTTTTTATCTATCTTCTTTTTACGTAATAAATATTGCTGAAAAGTACTTGGCTTTTAGTTATTGTGGTGCTCAGATATTTGAAGTTTATGGATTGGGCAAAGAGATCATC